CTGTCTCTCCTTCTGGCCGTGAGAGTTATTCTAATCTGTCCACATGAGCTTTAGTCTGACCAGCTCATATGTTGTGGTACTTTTTGTAGCTCCTCATAGTCGTAGCCATTTACAAAAGACACAACGGAGTTATTAAAATGTCCTCATATATGAGATTTTGGGCCATTTTCATATGTCATCCTGCCAGTCACTAACAAGGGATGGATGTGGTTCTGTTAAACCACTGCATAGGCACAGTGTAGCTGTAAATTATATTTAATCAAATATATTGTTTACATTGCTGCTAGTGCTAAACTGGATGCACTAACACATAGGCCTAGACTTTGAACCGGAAGTGGGGAAAGGGACAGGGCTCAACCAGAATCAGAATCAGTGTGTATGGGATGCATACATAAACGTACATAACAATTAAACCAAAAACACAGATAGAAAACTATTTTAAGAAAACTATAATAACATTAACACATATTTAAATATATAGTGAAATATAGCAGTATTTACATTGAATATGGTTGAAATCGTGGAAATGGAATTGGAATAAAATATGTGCAGTAATGAAAAACAAGATATTGTATACATTGTGGGCATTAATGTAATAGTCTATGATGTGGCTGATAAGGCATATAATAATGTATAATACTAAGGTGAATGTATAATAAATGAATGAGGGTTATTGAAAGGGAAAAACAAAGACCAACTAACAAAACTTGAATGACTCTTACACACATTTGACCACCAGTTTAGTGTCAGTATGCCCCTTCTTTTTCCCCATGCACACCTCCTTTAAAAATGCATTGATTTCCATGAGTGTCCTTGCATTTTGTGCACGCTTTGACTCAGTAAATCGTCTCCAGAAAAAGTATCCATCCCTCAGATCACTGTGTCAGGGAGCTTCTAATAAATGGGGGTCACCTGACCTCATGCATACATTACCTCCAGGTTACCTTGACCTCCATTCAGTCCTGAAGGTGCTGTTTACTCACCTGTTATCTCAGCAAGGTGATGATGCAGGTGTTGCAAATGGAGAATAATGAGTTGTTAACAAGCATTAAATGAAAGCTCAGCGAGATATTCTGACAAAGTGACTCTGTAGGTGAGTTCACGTTGTGTTTTTTTAGGGTATTTAATCGAGGCAGACTGCTGGAATATCAGATAACGTTGGCTTCCTCTTCTCCTTCTCAGTGTTTTTTTGTTTCAGGCTGAATCAGCGTACGTATTATGGTAATAAGATCACCCATCTGTGAACCGGAGGAATTGCCACGGACTATTTCTATTCCCTTCTCTTCTGGGGATTGTTAATACCTTTAGTGATACCTTGATGCAATTCATCCAGAGTGGGGAATTCTCACTCGTACGCGTGTAATCGAGTTTGCCTAAGTGAAACTGCAGTCAGATTTCTCAGAAGGGATTTGTAATTAGCCGAGATGAACTTTGTTGCCGCTCTGCTTCCTAACAGCCTTGAAATCAGACATATTGGAAACACACAGAGGGAGGATTGATGGGAGACTTTTGTGATGTAATCTAATCTGTTCACACACTAACACACACCTGTAAACACATGCATTCAAGGGCAGGTGGATGTGAACTACTAACACATGCACAGCTGGGTTGGGAGGGTTAATTACAAATGAATTCAATTACCTGTAACAAAATGTCACCTAAAGCAAATATCATTAAGATGTTTTTCACTGAAGTGTATTATGTAAGACAACAGAACAATGTGACCTTTTTTGTAAGAAAATGAAAGTGAGATTTTCTTTGTAAAAAGTGAGATTTTTGGGAAAAAGACAGAGCCTTCAGTGTGGCAGCCCCCACCCATCCCCACGCTTGACCCCTTCAAAAGGGCCCTCAAGACCCATCTGTTTGCTAAGGCCTTTGGCCCCTAATCTATCTGTTGTTTTGTCTGACTGTTTGTCTGACTGCCTTTTGTTATGTCTGTTTCTACTCCTGTGCTTCTGTAAAGCGACCTTGGGTCTCATGAAAGGCGCTATATAAATCCAAGCTATTATTATTATTGAACAAATAAAACAGATCAAATAGTGCAGGAACATAGAGGCCTAGTCCTAAACATTTAATTAAATGGCTATCATTTCATTAAAAGACAGTTTGCAGGATCAAGCCATTACATTATAGTCATTTGATTAAATGTTTAGGACTCTGATTCTGATGTGCAAGTAAATACAAATCAAATAGAAATAGTGCATTATGTGTATCGGATGCATTGGGAGGCAAACACACACACATATGCACACACTCCCATTAAAAAACCCAAACACTGAAGCCTTATGGGATAAACAAGAAGCAGCAAGTCTGCCTTTGAGCGAGGGAGGAAGATATCGTCTTTGATCTGATATCATCTGCGGCTCGGGCTAAATTGCCTTGAAGATGAACAAAACAAGAGTGTTTGTCAAACATAATTCTGCTTTGGTCTCGGTGACGCTCCGGGATTGTAAAAGCTGAGAGGAAGGTGGTAACTTCACATCTTTATCTGCAGTGTGACATAAAGGTTCTCTGCTTTGTTGAAAAAGCTCTTCACAGAATCTCTGCTGACGGATCAGTGTTAGACAGCAGCAGATTACCTGTTCCACCACTGGAGGGTTTGATATATTATAATGGAGCATTTTTACAGTGTTTGAAAGACTCTCCTCTGCTGCCTCACAGCCTCTTTGACTGATGCAGTTATTGAATACACTGGATACAGGAATGTCTTAAGTAGCTACGATACTGTGAAAAGAGCCATCCTGCATAATACCTATTTTTACTTTTGATAATATAACATTTTGATGATATAAACAGTGTTCATTCATAAGCCTGAGCTTTTTCAGAATTGTGATTTTTGTTTTGTTTTCTGACTTTCTTCAAAATTCTGACTTTTTTTTCTTAATCCTGACTTTTTTCAGAATTTTGACTTTTTTCAAAATTCTGACTTTTTTCAGAATTTCCTCAGAATTGCATTTTTTGTTTGTTTTATTATGTCAGAACATTTTCTGACATCCGCATTTTTCCTCAAAACTCTGACTTTAACTACTAACTACGATTCTGTGAAAAGAGCCATTGTACATAATGCGTATTTTAAATTAAAACAAATGCCTCAAATAACAGCAATATAACAACCATTTAGTTAATACATAGGCATAGCAAAGGCATGTATGTTATTTTGTGAAAGTAACCTAATTATGTAAACGTTGATTTATGTTATTATACAGGCAGCGGCTCTGACTGCTGGCTAAGCAGAAGAGCAAATTAAAAACGTTAATTTACACACTCACTCACACACACTCTCTCACACACACACACACACACACACCTACACACACACACACAGTCTAACACACACACACACACACACCCACACACACTCTAACACACTCAAACGGCCCATCTTTTACTGTTTCACTCTCCCTCAACACAAGGTGACAGTCAGCACTATGACCACACACACACACACACACACACACATATTTTTACTTTTGATAATATAACACCATTTCAATGATATAGACATTGTTAACAATATTAAATAGCAACATGGTCAACCTTCATTACAGTGTAGGGGTGTCACATGTTGTATTTAAATTCCAAATTGACTAAAAAGGAACCTCCTAAAAGCATTGCTGTCGTATCTCAGAAATCTTTCCTACCTACTTGCACGTCCAAAGAGAAGAGCAACTCTAGCCTGGATGAACACACACACAAAAGCAGCAGAGTTTATTTCTGTGTGTCGCTGGTTGCCAAATTTGCAGTGAAACAGAACATCACATTCCCCACTTGCAATTAAAGAAAAAGCTGCATGTATATTTTAAAATATATTTAAGTCTAATGACTTCATGCTTTGCACTGTTGTCTGATGGACAAACAACTATATGGAAACATCCCAGTGTGAAAAAACATCCACTTTCACAAGCTTTGCCTGCCTGAGTCTGTTTTAACCTGAGCTGTCCTTGGATGCATCACACACACACACACACACACACACACACACACACACACACACACACACACACACACACACACACACACACACACACACACACACACACACACACCTGGAACACCCTGCAGGTTTAGCACTCAGCAGTCACGCGGATTAACTTAAAAAATATCCTCTCACCCCGTTATCCTCTCATGGCCTCAGAGCTTCTGTTTCTCTCCCTTCCTCGTTCCCTTCCTCCCTTCCTCACCTCCTCGTTGTTCCCTTCCTCACCTCCTCGTTGTTCCCTTCCTCCCCCTCCTCGTCGTTCCCTTCCTCACCTCCTCGTTGTTCCCTTCCTCCCCCTCCTCATCGTTCCCTTCCTCACCTCCTCGTCGCTCCCTTCCTCCCCCTCCTCGTCGTTCCCTTCCTCCCTTCCTCGTTGCTCCATTCCTCGTTGTTCCCTTCCTCCCCCATCAGAAAGGAGAGACAAGGTGACCCAGTGTGTCTCCTGCTGTCCGTCCAGATGTTGAATCACTGTGATCGTCGGCCATTGTGTCTCTCTGACAAAGAGCCGCTTTCAGAAATGATTAAGGCTCTGATAGAACACGATGATTTAGAGGTGGCCTCATGCTCTATTGATCCAACGTTAGTATGTCTAAGTAAATGGCATTGTGACAGTCATATTTATAAAACATTTATGTACACACATGTGCTGTTGTTGTCCTTGCTTAAAGGTCTTTGAGCAGATACTCCTCCACTGTAGTGTCATTTATCTAACTGAGTATCGACTCAAGGTCATCGTCTCGCATGTTTTTACTTTCATAACTCTGACTATGATTCTTGTTTTCATCAAAAAAACGAGACAGAGTAAAAGTTTTATTTGGAATTGGCATCCTTACAAAAATAAACCATAAATTGAAATCCCAACTAATAACTTTATTGCTAACACATGTCAACCAAACTGATTATTTGACTGCCTTTTGTCACTTTTTTCTGTGTTAATGTTGTTGTGTCTCCGTATAGATTAGTTTTATCCGTGTTTATGTGTTTTTTCCTCACCTCTCTTTCTCTATCTCTCTGTCCCTAGACAACCTGTTAATTGATTACCAGTTCACCTTCAGTTTGCTTCAGGAAGACGACCGTCACTACACCAGCATCAACTTCATGGCTACACCTGAACAGGTAACACAGCAGGGCATTGGTACCTGTCATTTGGAATGTTTGTTTGTATACTTGTATGAAATGTTCTTAATCATTTATTTTCCAGATCTTTTTTACTTCAGTATTCTGACTTTCAAATAAATAATTCTGACTTTTTTTCTAATATTCTAACATTTTAGAAAAAAGTCAGATTTTAAAGTTACTCTTCTTTTTTTTGAAAAATTATTCTCAAAACTCTGACTGTATTCAGAATTCTGAATGTTTCCGAATTCTGACTTTTAAAAAAATTCTGACTTTTTCTCTCGAAATTCTGACTTTTTCTCAAAATGCTGACTTTTTTCTAAAATTCTGACTTTTTTCTAAAATTCTGACTTTTTTCTAATATTCAGATTTTTCTTTAAATCAGATTTTTTCAAACAGACACGCCTCAGTATCAAACATTTATGACACTATAATGATCCAAACATCAGGCAACAAATGGTTGTTTTTCAATAGTTTTAAGGGTTTTGTTGCAATACTTAGACAGAGACATGATCACATGACACAAAGGCCTGTAAATGGAGCAGGGCATCATGTGTTCATCACAACGTTTGCCAAAAGTAGTTTTTTAAAAGAAGACGTAGAAGTGTTTTTTGTGTAATATAATCTGCTGTCAACACTAAGAGACATCTACATTCTCAAGATGTGTCTGGCCTGTTTTTCCTCCTCTGAGCCTGAAGGTGTGTGCAGATGCAACTCAGAGTTGAATTTCCGGGCAACATTGCAGACAAAATCAATCGAACGGTGCCAAGAGAGGCCAATAGATTCAGAAACGCTCCAAGGTGATACGAGTGGAGGCGGAGACGGAGAGGCTAAAGTTAAAAATATGTTTGCAGAGAAATCCCCCGCTGGGCTTCGTGAATACACGAGAAACTGCAGAAGAGGTCTGGAGGAAAACAAGTTAAACTGTATATACTGTCAGGAAGTTTTCCATCAACTAAGAACTCAATACAGCGGTCAATACAAATAAGACAGAATGAATTAGCTTTGTGTCTGAATGCATCTCAAGCCTTTTGGTTTCCCTGTGTCCAACTTTAATCCACTCTTCATGCAGCTCAGTGATACCCCGATGTTAAGCATCTTTTGACGTCCATCTAATTGAATCTAATCATGATTCCTGTAGCACACAACAGATGCACCAAAGACAGAAAATAGTTAGAAAATAGGTAAAGATGTTACAGTGTGTGTGAGTTTACAAAGAGTGCCACAGTGACGCGTCCTAAAACACGGAAGTAAACTTCTTCCGGTTCCTTCGACAAAAACGCAATGCAATTTCTCCATAGGGTTTTGGAAAATAGCTGGAAATAAGGTCTGTGGTTGAGACACATTTAAGAGACGGATCACGTTTTGTTCAGCCGGATAATCTCCACATGTCTACCCTACTTTTATCATTTTCGAATCATAAATCTAGTCGCCAGAAGCAAAATGCTAACGTTATGCTATAAAGGAACTACAGCAGGGTCGCTGCTTCAACGTCACGCCAACTTAAGATCCATATTCAAACATACAGATTCTAAATGGTACGAGTTGAAGCGTTTGTTTGAACAGTTTGCAGGAGGCAGGGACTTGCTTTCAAGCAGAACACGGGGGAAAACAAACTTAGCGGGAGTGTTTACGTGTTCGGCGTAATGACGTACAATGGCCTCGACAACTTCTGTAGTCCTATTCAGCCACTTGGTAACAACCATCGTTTTTCAGACACGTCAACTCTTCAGAAATCACCAGTGGGGTCACTGCTGATGGATTTAATGTCGTAGAACAAAACGTGATCCGTCTCTTCAATGTGTCTCAACCACAGACCTTACTTCCAGATATTTTCCTAAATCCTATGGAGAGATCCCATTGGTTTTTGTCGAAGGAACCGGAAGTGGTAAAATGCTAACTCACTTCCGGGTTTTAGGACGTGTCACTGTGGCACTCTATTGAAGCCAGTGGATATTTTGACGTGTGTTACTTTAACTCTTCGGTTTGTAAACAATTAATTGTATTTGGGATGGGTCGGGCTCCATACTAAAGCTCATATTAACAGTTAATAATAACTTTTGTCGGCCTACTTTTGGTTTTCCTTTGTCCAACTTTAATCCACTCATCATCCAGTTCAGTGATCCGAACCTACGTGTTTTTGTGTCTCTTTTTTAGGCAAACAAGAACCTGGACATGTCCATCAACGCCTCCAACAACTTTAACCTCAACATCACCTGGTCCCTAAGCTCAACAGGTAGAAAACATTTTGTATTTATACTTACACCTGCTTTATATTTTATTTAACCCTTGTGTTGTGTTCAAAAGCTGTTACCGTTTTTTTTTGTCAATTTTGACCCATGATTTATCTCAGTCCAAAACTCAAAAAAATAATGACTATCATCCAATATTGTTTTAACTACATCATTACTAACTTATTATGCATTCATAACCATACAATCCTGTTGTAATTTTATGGCCCCAAAAAACATTACACCACATATTTAAAGGGGACCTATCATGCAAAATGCACTTTTGTACGTCTTTTCTACATGAATATGTGTCCCCGGTGTTCCAGGGAACTCACCAAGTGTCAGAAAACACAACCCTCTCTATTTTCCTCCATACCCAAATCTCTAAAAAAGGGGCTGCAACGGATCTGATAAAAACTGATCCAGATTTGAACACTGTCCTGACGTCAGGACGGTGGCGCTACGGCTATTGGGCCAACTCCACCAATCAGGAGGAGACAGCCACGGCCATTGCCGTTCGAAAGCGCTGGAGACGCTGTAGTACATATGCCAGGCCTCTAGATGGTGCTGTTCTCACTGAATCTGCCCTTGCTAAAACAGAGCTAAAAAATGTCAAATTGAGCAAAATGAGGCATGGCTAAAATGCATGATCTGTTTGGTATTTTGAAAAAAAAAAAGTATAAATATGCCTTATATAGGTATGGTCCTACACTATATTATTCAAATATAGCATGATAGGTCCACTTTAAGTAAAACATGTGATTCAATTCACTCATTATATTTCCTATAGTGAAGACAGTGGATCATTACGTTATCTGACAATAATTGACTAATATTAGAATACATTCTCCCCAAAAAGGTTTCAAATTATTGTTACAGTGGATGAAGGGGGGGGGGGGGGTGTCTAAAGTCAAAGATGAATCTTGATTCGACCAAATTTGACCTCGAGTCACCCAAAACAATTCTGCTGGGTCTCCCCAGACCCCAACACCAAATTATACACTTTTTTTTTTAGAGACCTTCAGACTTCAAAATCAGTTTTGTCGTGTTTATATATCTGTTGTGGAGGATATCATGAAGCCTTGTTCCGATAAAAATAAACTAGAGCGTAGTTATTATATAATTTTAACTTGAAACGGGTCACGGGAGACCCGAACACGACATAAGGGTTAAGGTAAGATAAGATGGACTTTTATTAACCCCTTTGGGGAAATTCAGTAGTTTAACAGCAACAGGCTAAGGATGAAAAACAGGACAGCACAGATTCACACAGATTAATACAGTTCAAGAAACTAAGCCCACTAAAAAGTTAGAGTAGTGAGAAAATAGAGAAAAGACAAGAAAACGTAGAAACAAAGGAGAGCTGCTAAACACTTGTTTAATGCTATTTCACTCTATTTTGAGATATTTTAATTTTTAATTTTTTAGTCTTTTATTTCGCTATTGTACAATGCCTTGTCTTTTTATGCTGCTGCGACGCAAACATTTCCCAAATTGGGATCAATAAAGTTATTTTCTTTCTTATCTTATCTTAAACGTACAGTATGGCAAAATAAGTGATTTGACTTATTTCGGCTGATTAGAATATGGCCTTTGTTGACTTGTCTGCAATTAATTAATCATTGGGTTGATTAATGTGCTAATTATTTTCTTCAGTAGCCCCAAAAAGGTCAGTTTTGTACTGTTGTGTAATAAACAGTCGATCACTGGAAGGTTAAAAGTTCACTATCACATAAAAAGCAACAACGCTTCAAACGAAAATAAGCTGGTAGCATGTTTAGCATCTTATTGATCACTTATCAAAGAAGTTGCATGTTAAGAATCATTTCAGCTCTAATTGACGTCCATCTAAGGTGTCTATTGTGATTCCTGTAGCAAACAACAGAGGCACCAAAGACAGAAAGATAGTTTACAATAGTTTTGATCTGCTAATATTCAGTACAGTGCAAATACTATACATCTAAGTAGCTAGGTAAACATGTTACAGGTATGTTCACCTCAGCAAATTGCATGTGTGTGAGTTTACATTGAAGGCAGTGGATATTTGGACGTGTGTTACTCTTCAGTTTGTAATCAATGAATTTGTGATTGGTCGGTCTCCATACTAACGCCTGTGTTAAAAGTCAATAGAAACTCTTACTGCCTGAAGGGTAGACAAAGGTCCACAGAGATTCATAAAAACAAGTTAATTAAGACCGAAGCAATTACCTGTCAGTGTGCTATATAGCTAGCTATCGTTAGCTAACATAAGCTATGTCTAACTACCGAACTAATTAGCTAATAGTTTAAATAATGCATGATATCTAAATGATGCTTCCTCCCTCATTTCAGTAAAGATCTAACATCTACCGGTCTCTTTGAGCCAAGTGGATAAAGAACATTTGAAGCCAATATTCCCTTTAAAACGGCCATTAATCTTCATAACAGGGCAGTTTTCTGGCATTGCATTACCGTCTAATGAATTTGAAAGTAAGCTGTTATATAAAATGTAATTGTATGAAGAAATATCACACTATCTTTTATTGTTGGCCGCAGTCAGGGGCGGACTGGCCATCGGGACGTTCGGGACAAATCCCGATGGGCCGGTACTGAAGTGTACCCCCGTTGAAAATGTACTAGCGGTAATTACTTGCAGTACCGAGGTGGTCCGGCGGTACCGAAGTGGGCCGGTCGAGAGTCCCGGGCTGATTTGTAGTCCCAGTCCGCCCCTGGCCGCAGTCCTTAAGGGAAACGGTCAGATCTACTTCCTGTTTGCCTCCTGGGGAATCCCCCTCCTGACGAAACACATCAGAAGCTATTTAGAAATGTTTGGCATTAGGGCTGTTTTATACATCTTCCCCTTCTGATTGCAATTCAGATAAAAGCACTCTGCTTTCAACACTCAATGTCTTGGGGCCTCTTCAGTTTGGGACTGTTGGCTGTGTGTCTGTGAGTGTGTGTGTGAGAGTGTGTGTGTGAGTGTTTTAAAGCAGGAGGTGGAAATATCTGTTATTCACTTTGTCAGAAAAAGTCAAGCATTACACAGAAACTGCTGAAGGAAACTGAAATCGGACCACTTCAGCACTGGGGGAAATGTTAAAAGCCCACTCTGAGTTACTGCCAGGTGTCAACAAAACATTGTTTGTGTGAGATGAACGGCACATCGTTGACATTTACAAAATCTAGGCTGTTTCCACTGCAACCACTTTCTGTGTGAAAATATCTTTACAAGGACGCTGACGGTGAAAGAAGCTCTGCTCATTGTGATGCTCTCTCATGGCTAAAGGTTTACACTAAAGTTGTTTTTCTTGCTTTATTATTGCTACATATTCAGTGTAACATCAGTATAGAGTGGTGCAAAAACAAGGCCAGGTAACAACTTCCGGTTACCTCGCATCACAGTCAACAGATACTAGCTTGAAATAAGGTCTGTGGTTATAACAAGCTGAAGATATGTTAGCGCAACCCAGTCTCACGGCATTTCGTGTTATTAGTCACGAAATTAATTTAATCTATTGATTCGTGTTCATTAACACGATTTTCACCTTTTTTTCGTGTCACACAGAACGATTTGAAATGCAATGTATTTCTATTGGTAGTATGTTTCGTGCCTGCAACACGTCTTTTTGTCCGGTCGGGTCTTGGAAGACCAGAAGCTGTGTGGTTCATAAAAACATGTTCTTACTCAATATCTTACCCTAAGCCTAACCCTATCCCTTTTATTTTAAATTGTATAATGTCTGAGTTTTTTTGCCGTCAGTGAGGAAAAGAAATGGCTCAGAGCCTCAGAATACTGATAACTGTATTTTATGTCATCTTTTTTTCCTTCTAATTTGTTATTATTTACATTGCTTTTAAAATCGTTCTGTGTGACACGAAAAAAATGGCGAAATCGTGTTGGTGAACACGAATCAATAGATTAATTTTGTGACTATAACACGAAATGCCGTGAGACTGTGTTGGTTAGCGCTTTGTTTTATGCCAAAATACGTCACTAAATACCCCACTGGTGAATACAAAAATGACGGCCGTTAACAAGTGTCTGAATGAGACGACTAAACGTCATCACGCCCATTATTAGCCTTCTTTAGCTTACGTGAAGTCATGTGACCGTGCTGTATTTCCTTTATAGCCCAACATTAGCCGCCATTAGCTTAGCGGTGGTGACGTGAAGTCATGTGACCTTGCTGTAGTTCCTTTATAGCCCAACATTAGCCACCTTTAGCTTAGCGGTGGTGATGTGAAGTCATGTGACCGTGCTGTAGTTCCTTTATAGCCCAACATTAGCCGCCTTTAGCTTAGCGGTGGTGACGTGAAGTCATGTGACCGTGCTGTAGTTCCTTTATAGCCCAACATTAGCCTCCTTTAGCTTAGCGGTGGTGACGTGAAGTCATGTGACCGTGCTGTAGTTCCTTTATAGCCCAACATTAGCCTCCTTTAGCTTAGCGGTGGTGACGTGAAGTCATGTGACCGTGCTGTAGTTCCTTTATAGCCCAATATTAGCCGCCTTTAGCTTAGCGGTGGTGACGTGAAGTCATGTGACCGGGCTGTAGTTCCATTATAGCCTAGCGTTAGCTTTTAGATTTGTGTGGAGATTATCCTGTTGATCAAAGGGTGTAAGCGTCATAAACAATATGCCGAAATCCAATGGGAAAACCCCGCTGGCTTTTGTGGAAGGAACCCTTACGATGCTAACCTCTGGGTTGGCCTACACAAGTACTCGCTGTACCACTCTATTTTATCTCTAACAAAATATGTTCTTCATATTGATAAAATATATTATTTAACAGTCCTGCTCATTGATGTGTTACTTAAAGTATATTCAGTTTTAAATACTACTTCCGTTGCACTAAATATCCTGGGTCAGGTTGAAAACCAATGACAATGCTTTTCCTCTCTTACATCCTTCACTGAAAACAAGAAACACCTCCCCTAACTACTTTTAATATATTTGGTTTTCAGCGATAAATGAAGGTTGTTTAGCAGAAATACAATACCTTCCAACGTAACCCTGTCAGACTGTTTTTA